CCCCCCCCCCGGTGGCCCCCCTTCCTCCATGCACCCTTGCTTGCCTGTTTTACTGTGGACAACATTTATAAAACGAAAAATATAACTGCCCCCCCCCACAATGCTTTCCCAGAATTTTCTCCAAAAACTTCCAACTTTTATGAAAAATCCTTGAATTCCATTTTGTATAAAAAGAAACATGAGGAAGGAACTGAACTAAATATATAAACAATAAATAGATTTAAAGAAACATTCTTTAGTATTTTTCTTCTATTTTCTGTTCAAATATTTGAAGAAAAGTTTTCATGTTTTGGATGGAGTTGATGAAATATATATTTACAAGGTTGTGGTTTCTCTCCTCCCTTTTCCCTTCTATGGATGAACAGTGAACACTGCTAACTGAGAACAAAGTTTTGAAAATTAACAACAACATCGGTTTATATCCGTATTTATCAACGGCCAGCCATCGTTAACAAATGGTGAGAATCATTACCAACAAACGGAACAATCAAGTAACGAACGACCGTACAGACACGTCAAAGAAAATTGTGTAAGATTGAAATTTTACGTTTTCAATCCTGACTTCTTTCATTAAAGAGCTATTGAGCTATTGTAACTGGATAATTTGTGGATAAAATCTAGACTAGAGGAGCCACGAGGTCAAAAAGCCGTAACAGTAATATATTACCTTTACCTTCTCTAAGCCAATACTAAAGAATGAGAAGGAATCCAAACCTTCTCCCTGGTAGATTAACCAAGATGTAGAGAGGATAGAAGGGTATTAAGAGAATACTAGAGCAGGCGTAAACTAGTGTATTCTAGTTTATTACGATCAATATAACATTCTGGGGTTAACACCTACCAGACATTGTGCATTTTGTTTCAATCATCATCATTGTTTAGGATTTATGTTTTTTTTGTATGCATAAATCTTTTTATTTATATTATAATATCTATTCTGGACCCCAAACACCTGTTTTTTTTATATGTACAATAATATATACTCTGAACCCCAAAACTTCATCTTTTTATATATATTATAATATATATTCTTGACCCCAAAACTTCATTTTTTATACATATTATAATATCTATTCTGGACCCCAAAACTTGATCTTTTTATATGCATTATAATATCTATTCAGGACCCCAAAACTTAATCTTTTTTTATATTATAATATCTATTCTGGACCCCTAAACTTGATCTTTTTAAATGTATTATAATATTTATTCAGGACCCCAAAACTTAATCTTTTTTTATTTATTGAAATATATATTCTTGACCCCAACTTTTACCCCTATTGTGTTTTAAACTTTAATCATTTAATCCAACATAATTCATAGTTCAAAATATATCATGTATATACGATATTGGATTGCGAAGACATACGGCTCGGAAAATTTAAGTTTGTGGCAAAGACTCATTTCCTTCGCCTTAAATTGATATTGTATAAATTAATATTGTAGAACAAAAAAATTATTGTGTCCTAATGTGAATTTTCAATATTTTACGCCGGATTAAAGTCTCATTATATAAATTTTTCCCCCAAACCTCTTAAATACAAAATATTCGGCTAAAAATTGGTATCGCGTCCAAGCTGCATGAATATACAATTGCAAAAGCTTTGAAATATACATGAATAAAATAATTATGGGGGGGGGGTGAATGTTTAAAAATTGAACGAAAGGATGATTAAAAGTTTTTAAAAATGTGAGGGTTTCAAAATAGTCTACGTCAGATGAAAATACATTCATAAAACAAACCTTGAAATCGATTTATTTGTAATTGAAGAAATTATTTTTTACTGTACAACATAGTTCTGAAACTACCATTGGATAAATAATCTTCTATATAATAAAACTCTTTGCTAATCTGTATAATATTTATATATATGTTTTTTCAAATTTCGAAATTTTTTAAAAGTTTTTCTAAACTTTAACGGGCAGTTTAGCTAGTTGAGATATAATGCTCAACCATTTAAGAAACAAAAGCAGTTTAAATTTAGTATGTTTTATATCTATAAATAGTATGTTTCATATTTATTTAATAACTATTTATAACACTGTTATTTTTGGCTCGCAGTTTTTGGACAGAAAATCTCTCTTTATCGAGAAGGTTCAAGCCTTTTGTCCCGAGCTATAGCGAGGGACAAAATATAGTCTAAAAAGGAGAGAATGGGCGAGAACCTTCGAGATATCTATATAGAGAAAATTTAAGTCCAAAAACTGCATAGCACGTCCTGCCAACATAATAGTGTTTTAGGTAATTTTATGAAACGTTTGTGTACTTTTTATTTTCATTTTTCATTTTATTTTCATTTCAATTGAAAAAAAATATTTTTGAAATATTCTAAAATTTTTGGAGAAAATCCGGGAACCAATCAAAACTTTATAGCACACGTGTGCTAATGTATAGCTAATTTAACTTTATAGCACGATGATTACTTTATACACGTTGAAATTCACGATGAAGTGAGTAATAATGATAAAGTACACAATAGTTTCATAAAGTTGTATTAATATATGGTATGAATAATAGAATATGTGTTTATTTTCAGTCCTTTATATCGAACTATTTACTTAATATAGAGTTGGATATAGAAATACAGAACAAATAATAAAAGGCATAAATTTGAAAACCTGAGCAAACTGTGTTGAATATATTTTCATAAATTTAAGAAAGATAAATGACTAATGTAATTAGGTCTTTGCCACAAACTTTGATTATCTAATCCCTATATCTTTGCAGCTAAATGTCCTTAGATAGTTTAAACTGGAACTCTGTTAAATTAAATAATGTAAGCATGAAATATCGTAGGTTTACACCGTCAAATTGCAAAGATATAGAGATTTTTAAAATGATCAGCTTTTAAATGTTGCTTTTCAAGTCACAATTTTTCCCCTTATTGTAAAACTAAATGTTTCTCTAAGCTAAATTCTTGATTCTCCAAATGTTGAATTTTTTATGTAACATGAAACATAGATCTTTAGTTTAGTATTTTCTGATTTGATTCTCCAAACCTAAAATAATCTAAATACAAAGATATGATGTTGATTTTGTAAGAAAGTATACCAGACGTCTGGGTTTAACAAATCCACTCATTTTAATATTTTTCTTGGAAAATTCTCCATTAAGCTTAGAGTTATGCAAAAACAATACTTTTAAAAATATGATTATGATTTTATTTTTGAATTACTGAGTTATTGCCACAAACTTTGATTTTCTAATTCAAATATCTTTGCAACCCAATGTTGCAGATTTTTGATATATCAAACTATGAAATATTCAGATAACAAAAAGGTTTACACCATCAGGTTGCAAAGATGTAGAGATGAAAATACTTGAGTTTGTGGCAAAAACTCAGTTCCTTTGTAGTGTACAGTAATCATAAATTAGGTGTTGAGCTCCATGAATTTCAAGCCGATGCATATCTTCTTCAGGTTTATCAAACAAGTATTACAGATTTTTCACCAATATCATGAAATGCCAGATAAATGTTGCATTAAACTTTACTTCCTGATTTGTTACGAAAAGTATATAGAACAGGAGGGTACAGGAAGTTCAAAATAGATTTATGGAGGGGCACGTTCGATTAACAACCTTGATTTATAAGTTTTGTCTGATGAGATATCTATCATCATCTTCTTTTTGAAAATAAATTATTTTCAATTGTGGCTTCTCTTTGAAGCGACATCTAAATATCTGCTATAGACACAATGGAGTAAGTTTTCAGAATCAAACCCTTTTCAAGTTATAAAAACGACGATATCTTCCACATTATTGATCAGATAACAGTTTACATGGTAATGGTATTCTGAATCGATGTTCTCTTCAAATACGAAGCTGACAGTCCCTGAAAGAAGCTGCAAATTAAAAAAATTACCAATTTTACCAATTTTACTTGAAAAGGTAACTTTCAGATATTTGGGTAGTATACGAGTTGCTTCTTTTTTAGAGCAGTGTTTTTATTCCTTTTCACGACTGTAAAAGTATCAAAGGAATTGAGTTTTTGCCACAAACTAAAACCTCTGATTCCAATATTTTTGTAATTTTATGGTGAAAACCTTTGATATTTCAAACTTAGATTATTTAATCTATAAGTATTAATAGTTTGAAATATCTAAGGTCTACGACAAAGATGTAGAGATTAGAAAATCAGAGTTTGTGGCAAAAACTCAACTCCTTTAGAATTAAAATTGATGAAAAATCTGCTATAAAAATTAAATTGAAATAATCAATACTTCGAATTGATGTCAATTTCTGAATAAA